TATCTATGGTATCTATGGTATCTATGGTATCTATGGTATCTATGGTATCTATGGTATCATGATCTCCCTTGGCGTCTGGGAGCTCCCAACGGGATATTTCCTCTTGTTGAGCCCTGCTGCTTCAATCACCGTCTTCACCTACCGGGAGTGCCACAAAATGTGCCATAAACGTCCCGTGGGCAGAAATTCGTCACATCCTCCGGTGGTTTGCATGACTGTTCTCATGGAGTAAGTAAATTTAGTCAGTTAAACATAGTTTTTACATAAATGATGGTAAATGACTCTTCTACCTTGTTTATAAGTTTAGTCAGTTTACTTTGGGGTAAACTGACTAAATCTTCGATGTCGGAAGCCCCGTGGTTTCCAGTGACTCAGTTTTCTACGCGGTATCATCCTATGGCCCTAGGGCCCTTGCATCGTCAAACACGGTCAATTTCATCCTGGGCTTTTGCAATGATATCACTAGTATTGTGATGTATAATACATATAGGTTATATATATATATATGTTATAGATGTATGTTATAATCACTGATAATTATAGATTTATATCTATATATTGCAGTGATAAATTTATATATACCAATCCCCCAACTGTAACAGGCATAATGGGTCCAAGTGTTTCTGCAGCGATGCATTTTACTAGTTTTACTGCGTACATCCCCCTGCATTTTGTTCAGGTCCCCATGTCCCTTGTGCTACTCTGCAAGCGAGGAATCAATCGCGCACTGATCTGAGGGACCCATCAATGCAAAGGAAAAACCTATAGAATCATTACATGTACATACTTCATATGCGCATAAATATATATATATATATACATTTGCATATATATATATATTTATACACAGAAGTATATTATGGAGGCATCTATGCATCCATCCATCCATCCATCCATCTATCTATCTGTCAAGTCAAATCAAATCAAATCAATCATCACACAAACACATACTGGTCGGTGGTTTCAACCCCTCTGAAAAATATGAGTTCGTCAGTTGGGATGATTCTTCCCAATACATGGGCAAATAATCCAGCCATGTTCCAAAACAAAACCCAACCAGCATATGTCCATTTTTTCATGGTTTCATAACACATCTCAGACCTCCAACGTCATCAACGTCATCCAACCGAGCCACCGCTCGCATGCCGTAGTCGTAGTGGCTCTGCGCACTGAGCTGCTCGCTGCAGAGTTGGAAGGTGGTGACCTGGTGGGCTGGCGACTTTCACCGCACCGAATTTCGAGCGAATTTCTGTCATGTCACTGGATTGGTTTAAGGGAAAATTTACAGGAAACCATGGTTTTTACCATCAAATATACCCTCTGGTAATTTAACGTAGCTATTGAAAATGGTCATTTATAGTGAGTTTTCCCATTAAAAATGGTGATTTCCAATAGTTACGTTAGTTTACCAGAGGGTAGGGCTTTCCTGTAAAATTTCCCATCATCCACTTCTATGATCATGGTGATTCTGGGGAGTTATGGATGAGCAGGTAATTTTGCCAAGGGATTTATGATGGTTGAGATCACCAATGGTATAGGGATTTATGATATGTTTCTTTTTTAATAGATGGGGATGATGGGGATTATGATTCTCGAAATTAGTGATCAACTATTGTTGGACCATCATCTGTAAATGTGAATATACTGGAGGTATAAGTAGTCAGCAAATATTGGAGATACCCTCCCTCTGGTATCATCAAATGTGGCTGACTGGAAAATCGCTGGTTTCATGACACCGGAGGGTATCAATTCACCTCACCAAGAGCAATTGGTTTCATTGACAAGCATCTGAGGATTTAAGCGACACATATGACTTTAAATGACACATTAAACCATCAGTTTGGATGTGAAAGCTTTCAGCAAACGAATGGGTTCAGTACCATCAAACCTGTTGAATCATTGGTGAGTCCTGCACAATGTCCAATTGACCATAATCTAGTAACGTATATCCATGTTTATTTTGCATATACCTTGGAAACTTGGAAACTGTGCCCTTGAGACAATGCATCTAGACTCTAGACCTCCAACAATACAGGCCAGGTGCCAGCTATAGCAGCTATAGCAGCAATGCATATCTCTCTCTCTCTCTCTCTGTGTACATATATATATATATATATATGCTATTTCCTTATTCATCTCCGTGTATCTGTTGACATACATACACACATGTATATATTTAAATGTATGTATGTGTTCCTTTATCCATATTCAAATGCACAAAACACAGAGGCACAATATAGGTATAAATCGACGTAGCTACATATACTTACATACATGTGTATATATATATATATGTATGTATATAAATGTATACATATGTATATTGTGCTCTAAACAGGAACTATTGATCATGCACCATCCACAAACACATCCACATCTTCCAACTTTGTTCCACATCCGGCTGGCAGCTACAACCTAGCCAAAACATGCAGTCAAAGTGGACCAATGATCACAAACATGCGGAGGTAAAACGATCCCTCAACGTACCATCCTGCTGCACCTGTACCATCAAACCAACACAGCCAATGGAAAGAATTGGAAATCCTATTGAGAAGCACCTCCTTGAGAAAAGCAGCCTAGAAATTCCCAACTGCCAACACGTTGGGGGTGCTTCTGGGCAAATTTGAAATCATTCACAAGCCAGAAATGCGTTTTATGTGGAATGCTTGCCCAACCCTTAAGAGTCCTCTATGGTGGGTGTGCATGTGTGTGTGTGTGTCCGTGTGCGTGTATATAAAAATATAATGTCACATAATTATCCAAGGTTGCATGTTTCATAGTACATCAGCTCAGCAACTCGCCTTTTTTCCCAAGCAAAGCCATTAGGGGCAAAGCTGATCTTAGCCTGGGGTAGTTTTTCACCAACCCCTGAAACAAAATGAGCCAAAGTCGTTTTGAAACTTCAATAAGAGCTAGGCTCGCAGTGGTTCCTAAAACAATCCCACTGCACTAGGATTCCCATCGGCCCGATGGGTAACCCTCAGTAAACAGGTACACACTCATTGCATTGTACTTTATTGACGCAACTGATACGATATAGTATTTGTATGTTACACGTATAAAAATAGTATGTAGTATTGTTGTACATACATCATGATTGAATATTATCACCATAGATTGATATTACCATCATGATTATTACTAGTTGTATTAGTCATTATTGTTGTGATTAATATTGTTATTCGTCGTTTTGAATGTACAGTACTGTTATATTGTTATATAGTATATATTTGTATACAATCATGGCCTAAACCAAGGACTGAACAATCTCAAAAAACATGAACACGGACGATTAATATTACACACATAGCGTTTGTTATATTGTATAATATAATAGTAATCTACAATATTACGCATGGTCAAATGGCACAAATCTGGTTGACATCGACCATGGCTATTATCTTGGCTGCCCCTCTGGCCGGCAACACATAGCCAGAGAGCGATCTTCAATCCCAAGCAACCACGATCTTTAGATGCCCGACGAAAATAGCTGGGTAATAATGTTCATAATCCCAAACCAACATGAAACATCAACTAGATGGTTCTAAATATGTGGTTTCAACCCCTACTACATCATAGATCCTGGGAGGTGTAGAACATAATTAGAGGGGGCGGATTAGCATGGATTAGCCATATATGGCAACAGATTCAAATACTTAGCGACTACCCATCCAGGCTTTCCCCTGCTTTACCGGCTGTCTTAGTGGGATCCACATCATCCCCAAGTTGTTGTGGAGTCATGGCGACCTTGGATCCGACAGAGGTTGATGCCATCCTAATCTCACATCATCCTAAGGGTCAGAAATATCCCAATGAATCAATACAATAACCGTTGCCCCAGATGAATATACAATGATACATCATATTTATTTGCCTATTTGCCTATCATCAATGTAATTGTCAAGTACTATAAATTATGTAAGTCCCAACATCCACCCCAATAAGCATAACATCCCTGCCCCAATCATGGTGTGCGACGAGTGTTCACCCGGCACTAGACTTTATTGGCGGTAGGGCTACAACTGGGTCGTCTTCGGCACATTGTTTTGGCTTTTGGAGCCCTCCAGCTTTGCTGGGAAAGCCGCAAAAAAAATGAACAATTGAGCCTGTAAGTCAGAGAGCTCTGCCACCCGGACATCGGGCTGCCCGGACATGGGGCTGAGCAGGTTGACAGCAGGAAAAACCTCTTTAAGAGGGAAAAAAAAACCTGCCAGTGACAACGCTCTCCCTAAGCCGCAAAACAAACAATCCACAAATGTTGGTTTCTACATGTTTCTATACCATCAAGATCCATGAAGAAATTGCCAAAAGAGCCTTTCAGGACCAAGCAATGCCTTGGGGCATTGGGGCCTTGACCCATGTTTCGTGCCAAAGACTCCAGTGACCTGACTCAGCAACAGGGTCTCAGGTCTCACCTGCTGCCCTGGTACAGCCCGCTTTCGGGGGAGAACCAGACTAGCAAATTCACGGTATCTGCAGTGGTTTCTGGGGTGTTTCATGGCATCGAATCCTGGAACAACAACAACTCACCAACAAAAATCAAGATACTGTAGTGGATTGGTTCCTCTGAACGGCAAGCACAACATGCAAGATCAGATGACTTTTGATGTTCACTGCTCGCAGGTAATCAGCTTCCAATATCTTCCGGTTTTCCATGTATTATCATGTTTTGCGGAAATGGGTTACTTTAAAGGGTTGTGCTTCGCAACGCGTAGACCCGAAATCGGATCGTTTGCCCGGAAGTAATGACAAGTCAATCTGCAGTCGGACCACGGGTACATCACTAACCAGATGTACCAAACAAGATTGATTTTAAGGTGATCTGATACAGTGATAGATTTCATTATGAATAAATTTGGCTAGCTCCCACCAAACATGGCAATCGGAAATCCCCTCCAATTACTGTACATGGAATTTTGAATAGGAAAAGCAGCTGGAAAATGGAGACTTCCATTGCTATGGCTGATTTCCAAAGGACAATGCTTACGCCATTCTTCAACCAAGGTCCACCCAGAATACATATTGCAAACACGCGTGCACCTGCTATGTGTGAAACATCCAGCTTTCGTGGTGAAAAAAGTGCCCATTCAGACTGTGCCCAGCGCGCCATCATCTTCCACCTCACGTGAGCCAGCTTGGAACCTCGTGGCTTTCTCCCACTCCCAACGAAGAAAGGTGTCCCTTTTCAAACGGCCTGAAACTTCGGCCCAAAAAGAATCAACCAAACCACGGTCACCTTTTGTGGGTCAGCTACCCTGCAGCCCAAGGTACTCCGTGCCCAATTACTTGAGGATCCTCGGGTTCTGGCTGGGACTGTTTGCTTTTCTTGGTCTTTCTCTCGCTTCCGCGGCTGGGGCTTCCGCATTCTATCCACCTCAGGCGCCATGGATGAAAACTTGGCTTCTCACATGGTAGGTCTATCTATCCCCTTATTTTTTGTGGGTGATCATGCCATTTATGACCTTCACAGTTTCTGGTGGTCTCATATGGGATCATCATCATATATGAGGATGACAATTTCACGATCCAAATCCCGATTTGGGCCGATTTTATAAACCAAGATTGTCCAACACAAACACACCAGTCATGCTACAACCACCATAAATCAAGTTTCTACTCCTTGGTGCATATTCCATCCCAGCGTTCAGCAGTGTCTGATTCAGCAGGTGCATGGCGAATGTTGTTGACCAATGTCTGCCCACCGGATTTTTTTTTGAAGGCCCTTCCAAGCATAGAGGAGTAACATTGAATTGGGGGGGATACCCTCTGGTTATGTCAAAATAGCTATTGAAAATGACCATGATTAGTGGGTTTACCCATTTGAACTTGTGATTTTCCATAGTTTTTTATATGTTCATGTGACAGCATGGCTGGTTATTTTTTCCCGAAGAACCACCCCATGGTGAATCCATCTCATCCAAAAGGATCATCATTCTATGCCACCATAGTCCCTTCTCCCGAACTTAAATGCACTGCAAACAAAAAAATATGTTCCAATATTGCATCATATTGCATCTATTCATTGCCGGACTCATATGTATATATATATATATATATGTATATGTATAAAGAGCGAATTTCCAATGAAGATTCTTATTAGCTAAAAAATCGTAACCAGGTGATACTAGGTTTGTCTGACAATTGCACAAACCTAATTTCACATGTTATAGCTATATAGCTCTTAGTTGAGTTGACATGTTCATCAACATGTCCCATTCAAAATATATGACCATTTCAGGGTTTCCCAGCATCTTTATTCAGTTGGGCGGCTCCTGAAACAGGGCTTCCGGATTGGACACCCAACGTTTGGGCCCCTGGAGTTCCCATGACATGGAGGTGGCCCCGCAATTGAAGCAATTGATATTCCTGGCACGGGGAATGGTCGGGCTTGTGGGTCACCGGTCCGGGCCCAGTCCCCGTAAGATTTAAAGACGAATGGCGTTCCACAGATGAACATGACACAACTATCATTAACTATCTGGGTAAATTTTCATGTTTCACTAAGCTAAAATAAGGATATGTTGGACTACTTACCCACTATTAACCATCATCCCACGTAGGAAAGTCCGACATCAAGTGGGTGACGCACACCCATTGGCTCCCATTGGCTCTGGCTCGGATTCATGGATCTAAAAACGCGTCCTTCAGCGCACCGAACTCCAATGGCATATGCCCGTGTACTCAACTGTTTATGAGATACCCTACTTTTCTGGAAAATACCCTCTGGTAAACTAACATAATTAACTATGGAAAATCACCATTTTTAATGGGTAAATCCACTATAAATGGACATTTTCAATAGCTATGTTAAATTACCAGAGGGTAACCATCATTTTTCCACCCCCGCATCATCTTTCATCAAGGCCTACAAGTCTAGCATCCCGTCCGTCAGGGATACCCTGCTTTTCCCTAGGGATACCTTGGCTTTTGCCCAACAGTTCGATGTGGTTTTTACCCACGGTTTCCAAGGAAGATGATCTACATTAAAAAGGTGGGAAAAACCATATCGAACTGTAAACGTTTACAGGAGGCTATTTTTCACCTAGCGGATCAACCCATACCTGGCATATCTCAACAAAAAATGTCGAGAACATGAGCTAAAATGACGATAAACCAGTTCGGATTCCAGGGGTGACCAATTCTTCAAACAATCCCTGAGCAGCGTTCAAAACCTGAACAGTCATTCCAATATACCAGTACTGGCTGGTTGATACGGAATCCCAGTCCATGAATTATGGTAACTCCCAATACACTGACCAGATATAGTATAACCCCCGAACTAATCATCAATCAGCAATCATTTATCAATTACATCCCTATATAATTATATACTGATATATTATTTAAATATATAGAGGGGGACGCCCCACGCCCGTGTAATTTCCATATAAATCACTATTTTTGACAAAGTCCCTATATAATGAGTTTTAAGACATGTTCTTATTGCTGCAGGTTGTATCGCATGACTTGTCACATATTCATCACACTCCGGCTGAAGATCATCCAACCAAGGTGTCCATCATGTGGTTTTCACATTTGGTTGTGGTCAACACCAAAAAAAAAACTCTGGCATCACACATCCCAAGAATGAGCAGAATGGTCTTGGCTGGGATAATGGGTTTGGACCTACTCCCAATCTCCAATTTTCCAGCCAGCTGTGGGGAATTCTCAAAGCCAATTCCCACCAAACATCATCCAATCCCCAAATCCCCAAACGAAACCCTGGTTTAGTCTTGGATCTACAGTACTTATTTTTTTGAGAGCGGGGGACTGTGAGAGTGCGTTTTTTTCACTGATGTTGCATCAAGATATCATATATATATATACCAGCGATGTTGCTGCAAGATCTCATCTATATGATATATATATATATGCATACCTCAAAAATTTCATCCAGCTGGGTCACAAGAAACAAAACATATTGCACATACACAGCGAGAAACTAAATAATGGTATCAACGGTTCTATGTCATTTAGCCAGTGAATATCAGAGAGAAAATTCAATTTTGCCCTGTTGCGCCATGCTCAAATGATAGGGTTGTGTTTGCTTCTATGTTGCAGGTTTTTATAGCAAGCATGAACAAGAGGAAACAGCACTTTTGATTGACAGAAGATTTCGTTTTGTCCCCAAGCAGTACTGCATCTTCCTGACAGAGCTCCCTACATAAAGAGATATGGAATGTTTTGCAAGGGTAAGCATATTGATCCTTTGAAAAAAAATGTGTTATTAAACCCTAGTACAACATCAACTCAGATTCTAAGGGCCAAAGCATGCTTCTCATAAGTCATCGTTGAAAATTTGAAAGAATGTGGCATTTCTTGAGGAAGTTGTGGCATGCCTCTATGCAACATTCTTCTATAGAGGGAGCAGCATTCCTTTGAGAAAGTGTAAAGCAAGACCCTCAGATGTGCATAGCATTCATTTAGAACAAGTGCGTTCTGTCTTCCATATATTTTAATGAACATATATGTAATTCCTTCCATAGAGGTAGTAGTCCTTTTAGAGAAGGGTAGCATTTCCTTATGATAAAATATGCATATACATTAGTGTTTTTCAGAAAAGCGGCATTCCTTTCAGACAGTACTTGATGGTTTCATGAAATCTTGATTTAAACAACGGTGTTATTTCATATTACTTCGAAAAAATATTATTCATTTGGAAAGTACAATATAATTTTCAAATATTATAATTCACTGTATGATATTATTAACTATATATATATACAGTTACACACACAATATTCCTTTCAAAAGTATGTATCATCTCTTTGAGAAGTAACCTTCAAGACACACAGCAGTCCTAGTGAAAGAGTATGGCTGAGTATGGTGTGATTTACAGTAAGTTGTTGTACAAAAGGGAACCCTTTCATATATATATATATATATATAACAATCCCTTTGAAAGAGGGTGATGTGTCTGTAATAAAGCGCAATGCATGGAATTGCCATTTGAAGAAGTATAGTGTTCCTTGCAGGAAATATAGCATTATTTTGAAAGGGCACTGTATTCTTCAATAAGCAGTTGCTCTTTCAGAGACCACAGTGCAGCATGCCTTTATGCAAGTTTCCTTGAAAAGGATGCAATATATTATATTTGTTCATTCCTTTGAAAAGAGGGTGGTATTCCTTGCTCAGAAGAAAATTACACAAACAGAGCCACCACCTCCAGAAAATCGGAAATTAGGCCTTGCTGTTTAAGAAATTTAGAAAACATGGTTTCCACCCCAGACAACCCAAAAAACCAAAATAATTTTGATTTTTAGTTCAGAGAGGTCCCTCTTAAGAATCTAATTTTATTGTTGACGAAGGGTTCCTTCATGCCGAAATGTGGAAACAGACACAACGAAGTCCGGAGGAAGAAATTGATCTGAGGGAAGGCCGGAAAACCAAAAAAACAAAAAAAACAAAAAACAAAAAAAACAAAAAAACCAAAGACATGCCCCCAATGCCTACAGTCTCTAGAAATCTTTGTTTTTTTTGTTTTTTTTGTTTTTTTTGGTCTTTTTTGTTTTTTGTTTATTTAGACCTTTGTGGCCTATTTTGGCATATTTGGGCATATTGTGGCCTATTGTGGCCCTTTGATGATGTGAAAACACTGCAAGAGGAAAACACTGCAAAATACTGCAAGGAAAACAGTGCAAAACGCACGGGCGCACAGCGTCCTTTTCTGTAAATATATTATATATATAAATTATAATTATATATAATTATATATATATACATAAAATCATATATCCGTATAGTGCCCCCCAGAACTAATCAACAGCCATCAACAGCCACTGCCACCAAGCGTCAAGGCTTCCAGGTAGCTCCGGCCCAAACAATTTCGCAGCTCCGGGTCCGCCCCGGCTTGCAGTAAAAGGTTCACCATCTCGGGGTTCCCAAACCAGGCCTGGACCACTGGATGACTTGTGCAGTCCCGGTGTTCAAGACCGAGCACATACAATTCTGTACTGCAACTGATTGAAATTGGTATCATGAAATACCCTCTGGCAATTCAACATAGCTATTGAAAATTGTCATTTATAGTTGAACGACCAATTAAAAATGGTGATTTTCCAGTTCGCTATGTTAGCTTACCAAAGGGTCTATTATAAATTGATCCATGATTTATCCCATGGTTGTTGGCTATGTTCCATTATTGACCATTATGATAACCATTATTAACCATTATTGACCATTCAAAGTATTGGGAACAACCACTATTCTTCGCACCAAGCAACCGAAATGTATAAGGGCGTAGCTCCATTGCATCCTGCGATCCCATCCACGATTGGTGAGGGCTTCCTGACGTACGCCACTGACAGTTCTGACCGTCGAAAGCTTTCAACGTGTTGTATGGGTCAAAAATTCAAGGCCGGGACGCCAGAGGTCAGAATCATGAAACTAATCATCTGGTTAAGGTGGTGCAATAACAATCTTGAAAAATATGAACGTCAATGGGAAGGATTATACCATATATTATGGACAATCCTTCCTGTTTGAAAACACCAACCAGTTATTAACACTCCAATTTTCGGGGTTGACCCATACCCAAATGTTTGAGCAGGTTGTGACCACGTTGGCGTAAGTGAAAACATATGGGAAACAAGTTTTTTCATACTCGAAACAAAGGGATTGCCGCCCAAACTGTTTGCAGAAAGTATCAAAATGTCTGGGGGTGATCATGGCCCGCCCCAAGAAAACATGCATGAAGTATGCTGAAAATTACAACTTGTATCCCAAAATGGATGCAGCGAATGCAGCAACCGGTCCAGTCGTCCCAGATTCCTTTGGAACTGCATCAGTAGACGTGCAAACAAATTCAGGGGCCTGTAGAAACCTTCCTCAGGTCGGCGGGCTTGTGGAGTGAGGTTTGGCCAGCACTTAATTCAATAAATCAAATCCAAGTGACACCGAGGGCATAATCATAATTATGTTACCATGATATATAGACCCAGATATTATCATAAATGATGATTCATTCATATAGATTATTGACGCGCTTCGGATCGTTTCGCCATCGTGGCCCTCATAGGATGACCACACCCACCCCTCGGATTCTCCGACGTTGTGCTGTTAACGATGGTCAAAGATGGTGGGCTGCAGTCAACGAAGATGGTCTTTGAATCGTGGTTTGGGGTCCAGTTCGACCTGATTGCAATATAGTACTTGGGTCCTATGCCTGCCATTACTTATTCAGAAGGTCACCTATAATCATAGGTTAAGGCACCTCATCAAGATAAACGGGTCTTATGTTGTAACGCTTGTAATTAACAGTCCCTACATGGACCTTTAGATTGAACACATTTATAGTGATTCTGGAATCAGAAATAATCAAATATTTTCGAGGTACCTACCATCCTTGTTGGTCAGGTCGGCCAGTCACCATGATTTAACTCGCCAGGATTCTCGGTAATTGACATCCGCCCGTGCATTGAGCAAGAGCCAGCAAGTTTCCGTGTTCCTGGCGTCTCCATCAGGTGATCCTAAACGATTTCACTAGGCTTCATGCTAGCTATACTTGTCTATGTTTTATGGGGTTTGTAAACCCAGCAAATCACTGGGCACGGCTGGGGCAACACCGTGAATACAAGATGGGCCCCTGCAAAAAAAATCACACGCTATGTTTTGCTGATTAGTAATTATTCCAATAGTGGCTTAATACCATGCTGAATTGGATAGCATACCATTTGCCATAACAAGTAGTATGGATGAATAATTGTGTACAAACAAATACTGTCATACCATACCACATACCACTCTGTTTGATCATCAGCTTACACCTTTGGGCACTTTGAAAGCTTGCGCGATGATCCTGATTAAGGTTGGTGGGATGCCGACAGGAACAGGATCTGGAAGTACCTTCCAGTAATCCAACAGGAAACTCCACCAGGATCTGTTCCTTGATAACCCCAGATGACCCCATCAAAGAACAAAAAACGATTGGTGTTTTGGGGGACTTTCAATTGCCATGTTTGGCTACCGGAGAGAAAGGATCGGCCATTGTGAATCAATTAAAACACCACCAGCCGTCAACGCCCCATAACATGGATAACCAACACATTCATCAATGGATTGGTTTCAGGGAAAAATTACAGGTTTAAGCCCCATATTTAATGGGAAAATCTATGGTTTCCGGTGTAGATTTTCCCTTAAACCAATCCATTGAATTCAACAATCGTGGGCAATCCGCCCAGTGGTCAGGAATGTGATGATCTACGAAAGGCGCAGGCAAGAGCAACCGATCATTGTCAATGTGGTGGTTTCCTAAAATAGGGGTACCCCAAATCATCCATTTATAGATAGGATTTTCCATGAAATACTGTAAACCATCCAGCTATTGGGGTAACCCCATGACTATGGAAACCTCCATGTCAGCTGGTTCCTAAAAACACTCGGATCCCCCTGGCTACCGAGAGAGACCCAGTTGCATGGGCATTTCTCTGTAGAGAGTTGTCGTGCTCAAAGGAGAAAAGCAATACATCCCCCGGCCAACATTCCTCAGTGGCTGTGCTATAGGCAAAATGCCCCACTGACAATGAGTAAAACCAGCCTTCTCTGTCCAACACATTTTGGGGATGGCAGACTCGGAACTGGTGAAGTAAGTTTTGGAAACCCTATAGCTGAATGAAATATCAATGAACTCACATTGATATAACTCACAAGTTTGAACCTTGGCCTTCCCAAAACGTGATGCATCCTCCTGCGAAATCCTCCCTGGTTCTAAAAGGAACAATGTCAACCACAAATAGCCCCTATTCATTTGGGGCGGGCGTACCCCCAAATGAATCAACACAATATAAAATAGTAAATCAAAATCGTGATCAATGATGATCGATGACATTCAAACACGATTAAAACTTGCATCATGAACTGCGGGTTAATCCTGTGTTAACATTACTTCGCCTACTGCAACTATCTTTTTCCTTTGCGAACCTTTTCACTAGCTGCTGGTTTCATTCCCCCTCCCGCAAAAAAATATGTGTGGGTCCTCATCCCTAGGGCTAACAATACATTCATAATCATTCATAATATATGGCGTTGGCTGAAAAATTAAGGGAAAACCCCAATTCCGAAGGTTATCCGGTTATTCTCATGTTTCCCTTTCAAATTTGGTCAGTTCGAGGGTATACCCCATTGACAAACGCCATATGTGACCCCACTGACCACACAATGAATGCCAATACCACTTAGAACGTGGTTTATAACCCATATATAAACCAAATACGTAACTGGGGATACTCCAGGTATAGGGGTTTTTGACCCGTTTACTAGGATGCACCCTCACAAGTACCGCTCAAACATCCTCAAACTGATATCCAT